GGGAAAGAAATAGACTTACAAGTCCAGGAAGCACAGAGGGTCCCAAACAAGAGGAACCCAAAGACGCCCACAGCAAGATACATCATAATTAAAATGCCAAAGGTTAAAGACAAGGAGAGAATCTTAAAAGCAGCAAGAGAAGAGCAGTTAGTTACCTACAAGGGAGCACCCATATGACTGTCAGCAGATTTCTCAACAGAAACCTAGCAGGCCAGAAGGGACTGGCAAGAAATATTCAAAGTGATGAAAAACATGGAACTACAATCAAGATTGCTCTACCCAGCAAAGCTATCATTTAGAACTGAAGGTCAGATAAAGAGCTTCACAGATAAGAAACAGCTAAAGGAGTTCATCACCACCAGACCAGCACTACAGGAAAAGTTGAAGGGTTTTCTTTAAGAAGAAGCTAATGAACAAAAGAATCTGACGAACTAAATAGATCCAGATACATTGACGCATGCAACAGATGATCATATTTCAGAGGAAAGAGGGAAGGGGGGTGGAGGGTGGGAAGAGATTAACCAAAGAAGTTATATGCATATGTGCATAACCCATGGACACAGTCAATAATGGGGTGAAGGCCTGGGGAGGGGCTGGGAGCAAAGTGGAGGGGGTCAATTGGGGGGAAAAATGGGACACCTGTAATACTCTCAACAATAAAGAGAAATTTGAAAACAATCATCAAACAGAGGAAAATAACTGTTTCCAAAATGTAGGGTTATCAACATATGTGGAATAATTCTGATTTTAAAATGTTGTTACATTCTGTTTTTTAAAAGTTGAATTCTTTGAAAATGGTAGAGCGGACTTTTTAAAAAGGGCATTGTGTCCCAAATGAGCAAATCCCGTGAGCTCTGGCTGAAGGACTCCATTGTGTGAAGGTGAGCTTAATTGCTGGGGAGGGAAGCTGCTGGGAGCTGGAGAGGGTCGCAGAAAATATAAATAGGAATAGGAACAGGAGGAGTGGGGCCTGAACTGATGTCCTCCTTTCTAAAGTCCTCACTGTTTGCTATAATCCACTTTCAGGAACTTTGTGGTGATTATGTTCTGGGCACAGTATAAGGGTTGTGGGGACCATGAACAAGTCAGGCATGGCTGAGCTCTCTGTTCCTATCACACACTGTCCTACTCTCTCATTAGCTCACTGAGGGCAGAAGTCAACTTTTAATTACCTGCCTCATCTGCATACCCCACAGAATTCTTAGCACCTTCACACACTCCTGAATGTTAAATCAACGTTGACAGGCTTGGCCTTCACAATTTTGCCACTAATCACGTGGGGGAGAGGGAACAGATCAGCTTTCCATGGCTGCCTTTGGAGTGAAGGTCACACAGCCTGGGATATCTGGGAATCTGCTCAGAGTTGATTTAGATAAGACGTTTACTTAATTCATTAGACTGAATATGGGCATGGCCCTTTTAACCTTAGACCAGCTCTTCCCAGACAAGCTTCTGGGGCTCTCATCCTCCAACAGCTTGTTAATCATATGGACAAAAGGCTTGTGACTGAGGGGTGTGCCCTTGGCTTCAGCTTTCCTCACTGAGTATAACTTGGTTTATTTTGCTAAGTGTCCCTAAGAGGCCAGAAAGATTTGGGTTGGTTCTTGCCTTTCAGAGACTGAAGTGATGAACTCAGAGTTCATTTGCAAAGGGAAAGACACTATGTTTGAAAGTGGGGCAAAACTGAAGACGTCTATCTTTGGCTTTTCGCTCTTCTTTTTTTTAATATTCACCAGGGGATATGTTTTTATTAATTGTTAGAGAGGAAGGAGGGGTGGGGAGGGGGAAAGAGAAACATGGATATGAGAGATGTGAGAGAAACATCGATCGGTTGCCTCCCATTTGTGCCCCTACCGGGGATCAAACCTGCAGCCTTTGGTGTGTGGGATGAATCTCCAGCCAACTGAGCCACCCAGCCAGGGGCTGGCTCTTCACTCTTCCTATTAATATGATTCATGGGCACCTGGCAGTCACTTGGCCTTGCCTCTGCTCCCACCTCTATAAAGTGCTTGCTCAATCCTCTGCCAGCATAAAAACCTGACTTTCCCAGACCCTGTAAATAAGTACGGCTGAGCCAAGCAGTGTGAGAGATTTATCCTCAGGAGGGAAACGGATGAATAACACACAGGCTCTGTCACCACAGGCACCTGCCAGCCAAAACAGGGATGTTCCAGTCTCATTTAGTTCCCCGGTGAGGGGCTGTGTTCTCAAATGGACCACTCATTTACAGTCCCAAAGTAGAAAATTCTTAGAAATTGCATTAAACACATAAGAAGAGACAAACCTCTATTTCCTTGATGCTCTTGGCAGACAATATGAGGATGATGCCCATGACAAGGCAGAATGCTCCCGTGGCAAAGAAGCCAGACAGGACCTTGGTGGCCGAGAGCTGCAGCCGGTAGGCCGGTAATCGCTGCTGCTTAAAGGCAGAGTTGTCTGGCAATCGGGACAGCTGTGTCTGGGATTGCCTGTCCATTTGGGTCCTGCAGGTGACTGAGATAGACTTTTAAGACATGTATAACATTACTACTCACAGTAACCCCTCATAATGACAATATTAAGAATGAAGTGAATCTTCCTTCGTAGCTGCAGTCTTCCAGCTCCCTGAGTCATTTCTTTTTTTCTGAATCATTTCTTAACCAGACCTGACATCCAGGAGGAGCACAATTTTCTTCAATCAGCCACTACTAGGTATATTTCACTGAGGTTCAAAAGCTTGTGCTACATGCCATGCTGAGGAACACTCCCCAGCAATCTGGGTAAACCAACATCTGGTGACACTGGGAAGCAGTTCTAATGGGCTACTTCTGGGATGTGGTGACTAATTCAAGGCAAGACCTTCCTGAAATGGGGAAAATAAATTTAACTTTAAAAACCTGCCTAAACCCTTAGAAATACAAAAAATATAGTAGTATATTTTTTTTCCAAAGGTGGCTATCCCATGACATGAATATAAATTAAGTTGGGAACATGCTCTCAGATTACAGCTAACTTTGCTATTTGTGATCATGAGAAAGAGACGCAAACAGGGATTGTAGAACACAGATGGTTAATCTCAACTTCCATTTTTTTCATCCACAAGAAAGACTAGAGTAAAAAAACCGTAGATTAAAACATCTCTCCTAACCCTTTCCCAAGTGTATGCTTTGGAGTAGCCCAAATGAGGCAGAAGAAAAAGACAGATAACAATGAAATGTCCAATATTATAATATGGTATTACTGCTTTGGTTTTGTCCCCACCCCCCTACTTATTAGCAACCCACTAACATCATTTTCATTAGGCTGTTACTTCCTTCCTGTTCTTTAAGGTGCATTTAAGATGTAGATTTAGGATTTTTTAAAAATTAGGTGAGTTTCTAATCTTCCTCTTTGGTTAACATCAGGCAGGGAAACCATGCTGGACTGTTTCTGTATTAAAGAAGGCAATGGCTTTGGCAAATGCATCTAGTTTAAAAGAATATAAAATAAATGCAAATACACTAGGAGGTTTTGAATTCAGAGTCAGAGCTCCCACCTGCAAACTTGGGGAAGAGCACAATACCAATGGAAACTCTTCAGCATGTAATTAGAATCCAGCTGGGAGGCCGCAGCGAGTGTAGTGTGGCTGTTGGTTATCAGGCAGCCTTGTTAAGAAGATGGCAGTGAACACTTCTAATTTACATCTACTATTGGTTTACCTAAATAAACATGGTCAAGGGCTTGGGTTTAAAAGCCAGTAATAGCTTATAAGATTAGAGTATGTGTGCAAGGTTGGCCCACAAAATATCAGGGGTGTTTTAATCTAGGTCTTTACCTAACATTGGTTGGGATTATACTACTATAGATAAATGCCTAGCAAAAGGGTCATGCATAGTAGTGAAGCAATAAGAACTGTATTTCTTGGGCTTTTTTAAAACAACAAAACCAAACTAACCAAAATCCCAAACTAAAGGAGGTTCACAGCTAGTATGCTAGGGTTCTCCAGAGAAACAGAACCAATAGATTATATACAGGGTGGGGCAAATGTAGGTTTACAATTGTGAGTGTGCGAAAGTTTATTCTTGTATTATTTATTATTGTATTATTTTCAATACCAACTGTAAATCTACTTTTGCTCCACTGAAAGAGAAAGTGAGAGAGGAAGAGAGGAAGAGAGGGAGGGAGAGAGACAGAAAGAGAGGGAGAAGGAAAGAGATTATAAGGAAGGGGCTCACGTGATTATGGAGGAGGCTGGAAAGTCCAAACTCTGTAGAACTGGTGTCCCAATTTGAGTCTGAAGGCCGAAAGCTGCTGTAGAACCAGCAAGAGCTGCTGTCCCAGTTTGAAGGCCATCAGCCAGGAAGAGCTGATATTTCAGTTGGAAGGCAGAATTCTTTCTTACTTGGTGGGGGGATGGGAGAGGGGGCCTCAAACTTTGTTCTATTTAGGCCTTCAACGGATAGAATGAGGCTACCCACATTATGGAGGGCAATCTGCTTCACTAAAGTCCACCAATTTAAATATTAACCTCATCCAAAAATACCCTCATAGAAACACCCAGAATAATATTTGATCAACTATCCGGGCATCCTGTGGCTCAGACAAGTTGACACATAAAATTCACCATCACAGGTAGTAAGAAAAATATTTCTGGGGCAACATTCTTTCTTGAGAGATCACCAGATACACATTTTATAGGTATTTTTGTATTTACATATTTCTCACTTTTTAAGTAAACCTATTTCAAGCACACAGTTCTACTCCATAGGCTCTGCTTTTCACATTTCTAGAACGGTTCCTCAACTTCAGCAACATCCACCTTTGGGCCAGATGTCTTTGTTGTGAGGGGCTGTCCTGTAGGGCTGTAGAACGTTTAGTAGTATCCCTGGAGTCCACCCACTAAATGTGTCACAGCCCCCTACTAGATGCCAGTAGTAGCCCCCTAGTTGTGACAACCAAAAATGTCCCTAGACATTACAAATGGCCCCTGGGGGGCAAAATCTCTTCTGGTTGAGAGCCACCGCTCTAAACTGATATGGACATGACTATCTGTTGGCAGCTGTTGTGTTGCAGTCATTAGAAAGTTCAGAGAGTGATTTTTAAAGTCCTTGTTTTCATTTCTCTTTTAACCACTGTGTAGATAGCCTCCTCGGGCATTACCAGTCATCTAATATATATGGAATTGCTTCATATTTTACCGCCTTTTCCTATTAACTGCTGGGATGCAAATGTACTAAATATGAGTATAGAATCAGCAAGTGGTTATATGTGTGTGGTTTTGGTAAATCAAGAGTGGCTTAGTGGATTGGTCTGAATTCTGAAATGCACAGACTAGATATCTCAATTTCCAAATCTGTCCTTTTATACAATCATGCTTGATGTTTTCTTCCAGATAAATCTAAGACACATTAATTGATAGGAAGTTAAATGCCTGTCTTAGGAAAGCATGTTGCTCTATTTTTTCTTACTATTGGTCAAGGACGTCTCACATGTTAGGATTGAAGAGATGGAAACAACAGGGCTAAGTTTGGCCACAGTTGAGTACATTTTCATTTTGTGGTAGCTTCTTTTTCTTTTTCCTCTAACTGGTTGGGCCTGAGTCAGGTCCTGCAGAGTGGAAGTTAATTTTTTTCCCTTTGAGTTCCTGAGTATGGCTTCCAGACAACAGAGGTATACTAGCAGCAAGTCACCGGTGTGCAGAAATGTGCTTGCTGGAGTATGATTTGCTAGACAGCCAGGCTCTTTAAAATTTCATAGTATTCAAATGTGGAATTTTATATACCAGTAGTGGCATCTTTTTAAAATTTGATTTATATACCTGGATCCCTGAAAAGGCAATCAATGGTATCCATAAGTGAATATGGGAGATCTGGGCATTCCTGGTTCTGCTACTTAAAACTGTGTGTCCTTTCTGAGATTCAGTTTCAACATTTATAAAATACAAATAATAATACTTTTCCTTCAGGACTATGACAACGATCAAACATCACAGATTATATGTAAGTGAAAGCCCTAAATATTGCTTGACACAGATGGGTAAACAACAAACATTATTTAAATGAGTAAAAAAGTATGTGAATTTGATTAACAAAATAACAATAGTACTGGTTATAACTCAGAACAAAATAAACATTCATGAGTCCATAGTGATGTAAGTAAACAACTGAATAAACAAGTAAATGAAGAAAAGAGACAGCTCTTTCTTACAGAAGAATTCCAATTAATAAATGTTGAAGCAGTGAGGGAAACAGCAAAACACTACAGTAATAATGGTATCAGGCAAGAACTACCAATGTTGCTAAAATTAATAGGCAACGTATGAGGGAAAACAGGATATTTGTGTAGCCTCAAAGCATTTCCCCCCAATATAGATATTAATTACAAAGGGAAAATCAGTAACTTTACAGGAGAGAAATTCAGCAACATTACTCTAACCAGGTGAATAAGGTTCACATCGCTAGTAATAAGATGAATTAACATTACACATCCCTGCTATGATGCATCAAAAGGACGCATTACTTCTGTGGTATTCTGGCCAAAAATGCAGAAAACAACTGACAAACTCAAACTGAAGAACATTCTATAAAATACCTGATCAGTACTCTTCAAAAGTGTCAAGGTCATGACACAAAGGGGAGATTGAGGGACAGTCACCAATCTGAGCAAAGTAAGGAGACAGGACAACTACATGCAAGGTGGGATCCTTGACTGGATCCTGGGATGGAAACCAGTGGAAAAAACAGTGAAATCGAATGAAGTCTGTAGTTTAGTTAATTGCACTGTAGCAAGACTGATTTCTTAGTTCTGATGACTACCATGGTTATCCATGATGTTAACACCAGGAGGAACTGGAGGAAGGACATATGGGACATCTCTATACTATTTTTGCAACCTTTCTGTTAAGTCTGAAATTATTTCAAAATAACAAGTTAAAAAATAAGACAGTTGTAGTTATATTGCTGACTTTTATGTTTACTAAGGCCACATACACTTTTAGCTCTACTACTTCTTCTACTACTGTCCCCTTCACGCTGGGACCAGGCTTTAGCTCACAAATCTGTTCCACATGAACCATCCCATGGAATCCTCAACCATCCTGAGAAACGTCATTCCTGTTTCACAGCTGATGAAACTGAGGCTCAGCGAGGGAAGCGTTTGCCTAAGATTGCCCAGCTGCTCTCTCCTTTAGTCTTGTACAGTCACATCAGAGGCCAGTCGGTGAGAGAAAAACAAGCTGGTGATACTTTATTATACAGGGAGTTGGCAACGGACAGATTCATTTTGGTCACACGTTCCCAGGGGTCCACCTGGTGATGCAGCCAATGCAGTAAAACAACAGCTGGTATTCACTGAGCGTCTGCAGTGTGCCCGAGCCACTGAGCGAGAGGCAAATCCCGCTACGAACACTGGAAGCTTCATGGGACAAAGGCTTAGAAAAGGCCCAGCTTCAAGGATTCTGACTTGCACAGACTGAGGACTCCCATTTCCAGAAGTTCAAAAACTTCCTTTTTTATCTACATGAGAGAAAAGACAAAAAAAGGTTAAGATCAAGAAAAGATGGTGTTGGTGAATAAATTCAACCTTCTGGACGTCCTGGTATTTATGCAGCTGTTATGGCCAGAGTCAGGGACCGCAGAAATCCTAACCCACATTTTATTCAGAGCTGGAATATTTACACAAGTAAAGGAAGAGGTATTATATAAAACATCAGCTTCAATCAAGTGCTGTTTTGTTTGCAGCCACTCAGAATAAAAATCTCATACAAGAGAATCTCATACAAAGATAACCAAAGTGTGCCCAGATCATATATAAATTTCAATGTAGGATAACTGCTAATAATGACATCAACATAATAAAAATAACTATGGGTGACAAGGGTTTTTAGGTTACTCTTTCTCTGTATTATTGCAGTTAGAAAACTAGGGGTGGACTACTCAGATTTAATATTAAAACCAAAATAAAATATGGCCTCATGTGCTGGACATCAGTTTGGTTAAACCAATTTTAAAAAGCCAGTCAGTTCAGGAGGCAGCGTGTGTGTGTATGTGTGTGTGTGTGTGTGTGTGTGTGTGTGTGTGTAGGAAACTGAGAAAATTGTCTCTTAACTTTAACTGATGTCTGATCTAATTCACTGATCAATTATAATCAGGTTTGGTCATTCTGTGGTACATTAATTCATCTGCATGGTGGGAGGAGTAATCCAAGCCTCTTCACTAGTTACTGCTGTGCTTCATTCCTGGTTGGTGACCGGCAGCCCTGTTTACTACTGCACAGTTCCTTCTCTCTCCAATAGCTACCTGTAAACAATCGGCCAGATTGAAAAACTAGCCCCATGATAACATGGTGGGTGGAAAATCAATTTTTGCACATTATGATGGTAATGAATTACTTTCATAAATATATAACAAACTAATGCTGTGCCCACAGAGGCATTCAGTTTTAATCCACTGAGACATCAGAACATTTCCCCATCCCCCCCGACCAAAACAGCCCTCTAAGTTAAGCAAGTGGGTTTTAGGGGATGCAGGGATGGGGGCAATGAGGCAAACTCATGCCCCTGCCTCCAGTGCTCTTACAAGGACCAAGAGCAAAGGTGGCTGCGTCTCTAAAGCAAGGCACAGGGGGCCGTGCGAAGCCCTCCGGATCCTCCTGTTTCTCAGAGGGGCAGTACAGCTGTGGTCCCCAGGGCGGCAGAAGCCACCGGCGCTTTACAGAAGAAACAGGCGATTCCTGTAAAACCCATGGGAAGGATGGGAGTCTGCGTAAGGGCTGAGATGGCCTCCAGGACGGCCCTGTAGAGCAGCTGTCAAAGGACAGCTGGGGCCTCACGCCAAAGCCCTTCTTACTGTGTTTGAACGCAGGTTAGAGTAGGAAAAAAGAAGAGTGAAGACACTGCTGGCTGCACGGTACCTCGGGAATGTCCATCATCCTCCTCAGCTTCTGGTCCCTCCAATTCCAGTCGAAAACCAGGAACTTCAGGGGGTTCAAGTTAAGGCCGCCTGAAAGGGACGGGGAGGGAGTTGCTGCAGGTGAAGGCCTCAGGGCACAGCTGATTGAAGTGACTAGTCTCTTGGTCGCTTTTCACGCATTTGCTGTCCTCTCCCCCCAGCTAACCTCTCATAGAACGAGGGCGAGCCCGGGGAGGGCAGAGGCAGCGCCCCAGGCTCGCTGAGTCCTGGCTGGGCCGAGGGAGCTGCTCGGCTGAGCCCCAGGGCTGAGCTCCAAGGCCCAGGCCCCCGGGAAGCCCGGGCGCGAGGCTTCACCCCTCGGGCGGGCAAGGTGCCCGCGGCCTGGGGCAGTGCCCGTCTGCGAGTGGAGGCTGCGGAGTCCCCAGGACTGAGGGTGGGCGGGAGGAGGCGGCTCCCTGTGGGCAGGGCCCCTTCCCACCGCCCTGTCCCCCGAGGCGAACAGTGACGCGGGCCCGGCCGCGGGCTGCCTGCCTCTGGGCTCTCGGAGTGGGCACCGTGGGCCCTTCTCGCGCCCCACGGCCCCCGCCGTCACGCTTCGGGGAAGCCCAGCCGAGGCCTTCCCTGACGCGCCGCAGCAGTTCCCTTACACTTTTCTCTGTGATTACTTCAGCATTTCCCTCTCGGCCCTAAAGGACTTTCTCATGTTTCTTATCATTAAAATGCCTCTTATTTAAAACTCCCTGAATAATTAAAAATGACAAATAAAGGAAGACAATGGTTGATAATCTTCCCTTAACAATAATTGATTGCTGGTGGCAGAGCAAACAGGTACAACCTCTCTAGAAGGCAACTGGCTATCATAGAAAAGGGGCTTTAAAATGCTTCTTATTTGATAAAATAATTCCCCTATGACATATCCTAATAAAAACAGGAGAAATTTAAACACAGTTACTTACAAAGATGATCACTGCAGTATTATTTATAATAGCAAAAAATCAGAAACAACCCAAGTATTCTACCATAATAGAATTGTTAAAAGCCATCTAACTTGGGTTTAATATACAAAATATAGAGAGAACTCATATAACTCAACACCAAAAAAACCCCCAAACAATTTGATTTAAAAATGGGCAGGTGAACCAAATAGACATTTTTCCAAAGAAGACATCCAAATGGCCATAAAGTACATTAGGGAAATGCAAATTAAAACCACAATAAATTATTATTCGGCCACAAGAAAGAAGGAAATCCTGTCATTTGCAACAACATGGACAGACCTTAAGGGCATTACACTAAATGAAATAAATCAGACCGAGAAAGACAAATATTGTACGATCTCACTTATATGTGGAGTCTAGAAAAACTGAACTCATAGATACAGAGAAAAGATTGGTGGTTGCCAGAGGTGGGGGTGGGGGGAAATGGGTGAAGGTAATCAAAAGTAAATACTTCCAGTTATAAGATAAATAAGTTTCGGGGATATAATGTATAGCATGGTGGCTATAGTTAACAACTGTATCTTTAAAAAAATTCTCATCACAAGAAAAAAATGTAATTATGTGAGGTGACCGGTACTAACTAAACTTATTGAGGTGATCATTTTTCAGTACATATATATATCGAATCACTATGTTGTACATCTTGGACTAATACAGTGTTATATGTCAATTATATCTCAATAAAACTGGGAAAAAACCCTAACTTTACAATAGAATATTATATAGCCATTAAAAATAAAAAATTAAAACTATTTCATGACAGAAAAAGTCCTTAAGAGATGTATTATGTGGAAAAGGTAGGTCATGAAATTATGATACAGAGTAAGTATGAGCTCTATTTATAAAAATATATAAAACGCATAGAAAAAAACTAAAAGGAAATATATTCAATATTAACTAACAAGAGATTATCTCTAAAGTGAATTATTTTCTTTTATGTACTTCTGCATTTTTCAAAGGCTCTTATAGTCAGAAAATCCCCTTCCTTATTAAATTAAAACAATACCATTCTGTCTATAATTGTGTAGATCCCAATGTCAAAAGATGTTTGACATCTGGAAACTCTCCTTAATATTCATACCTACTGCATGTCTCTCCACCTGCCCTCCTCCGATTCAGCTGTTCTCCTGTTTTCGAATGCTCCTGAATGCTTTTCTCACATCTGCATACTTCAAAGATCCTATTTTAATCGTCCCCATACTTTAAAGATCAGTTAAGAACCCTTTCTTCTGTAATGCTGTCCCTGAAGACTCAGCTACCACATCAACCTCTCCCACACTTCAAGTCCTCTGGACTCGGAAGTGCTCACTTGGCCTTTGGTCCTTACTGTCTTGTATGGTCAACCTAATTCTATGTGCACTTATCTCTTCAACGGGATCAGGAGCTCCCTGACTGGGAAAGGCTCAGGAACCAGGAAAGCCGAGACAGACTCACTTTGGGAGGGCACTTAGCCCTTGTGAGCATTAGTTTTGTGTCATGGGAAATAAGAACACCAGCCTGCAAGGATGAGGCGAGTACTACATAAGATAAATGCGAGTGTGTTTAACATACTGCTAAGTACAAAGAGGAAGTAAAAAAGTATTTGTTTCCCTTCTTCATCTGGGGCCTCCAGTTTGTTACTTGTAATTGCACAGAGCTCTGTATACAGTGGGTTTACCTAACCCTGGATGGCTTTCATCTGGAGTGAACACTAGTATTTTCAGCTTTTGTTTGCTTTTTGGCAAATGACCATCTCTAGACCGAGTTACTATACTGATGAACCCGTTGCTTTTAGATATATAAAAAAGTCCAGGAATAACTGTTGTCAGCTATAATACAATGTTCTATTACTATATTAAAGAAGTAATTTGGAAATGAGTGTTGACAAGAAATCTCTAATCTGTCTGGCAGGTAGAACAGGGAGTAAGATCATCAGCAGGTGGATGTTGTCTGGAACACTTTCTGGGTAAAGCACTACAAGAGATGCATTAGAGAAATAGTCTAGAATACCACTATTTCATCCACAGAAACTGCACTTTTGTTTCAACATGTTTTCAAGTGTAATGGGAGTCTTGGGGATCCACGACTCAATTAAGTGAGAGGGAAATGCTCAACACATCCAGCTCTACAAATTCCAGAGGCTGCAAACGGATGGAATTAGTTGTGGGTCCACTAACCTTCTTAAAGCAATTGAAATCTGAATGTATTTAGGTGGGCACCTGCCCTGCAGCTTGCCACAGTCTTTATTATTCCCTATTCCATTATACCTGCCGGCTGACTTCAGAGACTCACAGCTGAGTTTTCAACTCCTGAATTAACACAGAGATCTGGCTTTACTACGTTGCACATGTGGTATCCCAAAAGTCACATGGGGGTAAGGCACACTCCCAGCTCCGGAGAGTATCACTGGCTCTTTTCACACCTTGTTTAACGAGTTCTTTAATCCTCCCTGGAGTTCCTACACCCAGGTGCACGGCACGCTTCTCCAGCAACTTAACCTGCTCCTGGACCTGTACCAAGATGGGAGAGAATGAAGAAAAGTGTGATACTGAGGCAGACAACCAAAATATATTTCCCAAATAAATGTGGCCTTCGTCCACAGTTCCTGACTCGCAGCTCCCCAAGCCCTTGCAATTTCCTAAGTGTTGAGAGTGATGAAACTGTCTTTTGTTATTTGAATGAGGTGGCTTTTGGAAGCACCTGAGGATGGAGACTGGCTCCAGGAGAACCGACCATGTAATGAGAGGGTTGGAACTTTCACTCCCAGCCTTGACCTCCAGGGAGGCAGGAGGGGCTGAAGGCTGAATCAGTTGCCAATGGCCAATGATTTAATCAAGCATGCCTATGTATTGAAGCCTCCATAAAAAACTTGACAGGAAAGAGTTTGAAGAGCTTTGGGGTTAGTGAGCCTATGGCGACTGGGGAGAATGGTGTGCTTGCAGAAGGCATGGAAGCTCCACACCCTTCCCCAGACCTTGCCCTATGCATCTCTTCCATCTGGCTGTTCCTGAGTCACATGTTTTATAACGAACTGGTGATCTAGTAAGTAAAATGCTTCTTGGAGTTTTGTGAGCTGCTCTAGCAAATTAATTGAATCCGAGGGGGTTGTGGGAACCACTGATCTATAACCAGTTGGTCATACAGGTAATAGCCTGGGCTTGTGACTAGTATCTGAAGTTGGGGGTAGGGGGTGTGTATGCTGTCTTGTGGGACTGAACCCTTAACCTGTGGAATCTGATGTATCTATCTCCAGGTGGATAATGTCAGAATTGAGTTGGATTGCAGGACATCAATAAATGATTCGGTATAAATGGGTGTCTGGAGCATTTCTTAGATGTGTGAGAAAGCACCCCCTCCACATGTTGGAACTTGGGTCCAGAAACTCTTTTCAAAGAGTCATTAGAAAATGCAGTCAATCATGGGACAATTTAGAGCATTTTGTCTAAAAGTTAAGAAAGTTAAAAAGCAAGTGGGGCTACCCTTATTTAGGGTCAACTTCTAGGGCAAAGAACGTTAACATCAAGATAGAAGAAAACAGGTAAATCTTCAAAGAGTCCAGGGGTCAAACCCCAGCTCCTGTAGAGGAGTCTTGGTGCATGTAGGAGAGTGACTGCTGTGGGGAGAGGTAGGTGTGCAGAGGTAGGGAATGTAAAGAAAACAAGAATGGTTGTTAAATATGTTATATAAGGAGGCACCAAAGAAAATGCTTGTTAAGGAGATAAGCAGAGGTTGGACGGAAAAAGCTGAGATCTAGAAGTGGCCCTTAAGGATCACTAACATCTCCCACCAAGAACCACAGGCCCTTTGCTTACCTTTATGTGTTTTGCAAATAATTTTATAACTTTGCTGTCTCCTCTGAATACCGTCATCGACCTAATGAAAAGGAACAGATTACTGCATAAGAAAACTCACTCATTCTGGGCCATGTTGACTACTTAAGTATTATGTTTTGTTTTAGTCAAAGAATATGTGCATTAATTTATGTGTGTATATATGTGCACATGTATGTGTATATATGCACGCATAAAAATTCTGAGATTTTCAGATTAGCCATCTCTGAAATGAAATGGGTGGCCTTTTATACAGGCTTCTAACTCTCAACATGAGGCTAGCTTTACTTAGGCTTCCTTGAATGCTGAAACGCTTTACTTAGGTTTCCTTGAATACTGAAACGTGGGTCTGTGCTTGACTTGCAATACAGAATTTCTGTATTCCAGGGCCCTGGCACAGGACTTATCTTCAAACTCCACAGTACATTCTCATACGCTTGGCTGTGAGAATCTCTGACAGCAGTAGCACCAGCCATGCGCTGGGGCTGGGAGGGAGCTGGGGATGGGCTGCAGGGAGGGGCAAGAGGCTCATGTACCTTCATCAGAGCAGCCCCCACTTTTACTTACTTTGCAGAGTGAGCTTTGCCATAAAATTTTTTATGTAGAAATGCTTCGGTATAAATGGGTATAAAATAATAAGTCTTTTAGTTGATGTTTGAGGTGAGAACTAACATGGAAAAACTGCTTGAGAATATTAGTTCCCTTTATGTATCATTGTTTTGTTTGGGGAAATATTATTGACTAGTTGGAATCTATGGGTTTGCAAATAGTGAATCATGTTATACAAGTGCTGTTACACTTGACTTTTTACTTATACATAAGGTTTCTCCATAGCAAGGTCAACTAGCAAGACAATTTAGGGGACATATCTGACATAACTCGTGGTTCTCAAGGGAGGAGATATTCTTATAAAAGTTAGAATTACTCAACACTAGTCTTTATGAATAGGGCTCGTTGTGCCTGCTCAAAAATCACCTTTTGCAAATCACCTAACCTCAAAATGGATCGTAGTTATCACCGGGGACACAGAAAAACACTGAGAATTGGTAAATGAAGTGCGACAACATAGGCTTTTATGCCCCTCAGAAAGGCAATTATGTACAGCAAACACTCAAATCAATATGACAACTTGTTTTTAAGAGGCCACCTTGAGGCCAACCTGCCTGCCATTAGAGCTTGAATATGAAATAAATTCTGTGGTGGTAGTTTTTAAAACACTGAAAAGTCACTGTAAACTACTGTGATTTCAAATAGAGTTTCTGAGAAGCAGTTGGAGTCTTGAAGATCAATTATGTTTGGAGCAGAAATAGTTGAAACACTTTTGTGGGGAAAGGAGAGTTTGAAGGACTATTAACAAAGCTTAACGACTACTTTTCTAAATTCACGATCAAATTAGTTCATTTAGACAAATAGATGCTAAATAACTACTGAGTGTCCACATTTGCACCTAAGTCTATTTGATCAAACTCTTCTTTCTTTCAGGACTTAAATTTTCCTTTACTTTGTCTTGTGTCAAATCCTGGCACAGAGCCTGGCCCTGGGAGAGAGTGAGTCTCAGTAAATCCCCTTTCGCTCTGATGGCTCTTCCCTGAAAGCTGAGTGTTACCCCAGATCCAGTGGAAGCCTTCTTGTTTATGATACAAAAGCTACAGTGAATGAGAAAGTACGTGAAAGCACGTAGTAAAGCACTGACAAATTATCTTTAAAACATAATTTTTACATTAAAATTTTTGGTCCACTTGGAATTTATCTTGGTATAAGAAGTGAGATATGGATCCAAGTTTATTTTTCCAGATGGCTACCCATTTGTTCCAACACCACTTATTAAGCAATCCATCTTTCCCTACTGATTTGTCACCTTCGCCATACGCTACGTTTTCATATACATACGGGTCTATTTCTGAACTCTCAGTTCTGTTTCACGGATCTGATCTCTCTGTCATGCATGTGCCAGTTCCATACTGTTTTAATTATTGAGATTTTGTAGGATGTTTTCTAAAAAATCTGATACTATAGGCGTAGTACCTGCTCATTAGTATATTTTTCAGAATTTCCCTGAGGGCTGATTTCTTCTCATGTGGACTTAGAACTAGTTTACTTAGTTTAAAAACAATTCTTTTGGAGTTTTGTTGGAAATCTGTGATACTTATGGATTATCCTAGGTAAAACAGATGCCTTTACAACACTGAATCTATTCAAGACATGGTAGCCTTTTTGTGATTGTTCAAGGTCTTCTGCATCGCTGTGTAATATTTTCTTTATATAGGTTTTGGTAAGTTTATTTCTTGGTGTTCTATCTTTTCTTGTTGTTTTAAATTAGATCTTTTCTTCTAACTGGTTATTGCTCCTACGATCTCCCTGTTTTCACCTTTGCCCTCTACAATGTGTGTTTGCCACACAGCAGCCAAAGAGATCCTTCAGAATGGTTATTCAGGTCTTTCTGACTGTCCCCTTTGCTTGGCACACTCTTAGATGTCTGCTTGGCTTTCTCCTTCACCTGTTTAAGTCTCAGCTCACACGCCATCTCCTTAAAGACACTTTCTGGGACTACCCTTTTAAAAGCAGCCCCATCTACTTCTTCCCCTTTGCCATGCTGTATTTTTTCTTATATGACTTATCACTAGCTGACATTATAATGTATATTTACTTGCTTACTGTCTGTGCCCCACACTGGAAAGTAAGTTCTATGAGAGAGCGGACTCTGTTTTGTGCATCGCTACATCTCCAGCATACAGAACGTATCAGTTCGGCACATATCGGTTATTCGGAAAACATCTATGAAATAGTAGGTGAAGCGTCCAACCTAATGAGCTCCAGGGCTCGGACGGCAGAGCTGCAGATGACCAGCATCAGGACCGACTTCTTCTCAGTATGGTTCTTCCGAAGCTTTACCCACTTAGGGCAGACTGAAGAAAAGGCCATAAGGAAATACATTATTGTAAATACAGCAACATAGGGCCCCCCAAACTGAGTGTTCTCCAATTACTTCTTTGTTAATGTTTAAGTAAAATAAAATATAATGAGCACTGTTTAGATTCTATTCTCTGGTTACTGTAGGTATTAGATGAAAATGAAATATCATTAACTTACAACACAAAACATATATATTATGCCAAATAGCTAAATGTGACCAGTTTTAGGACTAAGTAAAAAAAGTTTAAAATAATGCATCTGTGATATTTTAATTTGTTTGATGCTTGAAGGCAATGTTGACTGGGAAAATAATTCTGATTCAATAATGTTAAATTTTAAAGGGACACTGAGCATAAAATAAAAAACGGAAATGACGCTGCAACAAAGCAAACATTTGTTAAACAGTGACACTGCGCTAGGCACTCTACATGCAACCTTGTTTAGTTCTCTTAACCCAGTGAGGTTGAGTCTATTACCTACATTTACAATTGCTGAATTTGAGGCTACAAAGTATATGAACTCAAGCTGAGTGTCCCCAGATTGATTAGAGTTTGAAAGAAGGATGCTAAATCTCCACATCTAAATATTTCATTGTTGGTTACAAACAATGACTAGCTCCTGTGAATAATCCAGTTATTACCGACTACACACAATACATATTGGAAAGGTCAAATTAGGTTGACCATGTAATACCTGAGGTCTGAGTTCTGAAGACGTGAACAGTCTCAGAATCTCATAGTTGGAACAGGGGTCACACAGTCCAACTTCCTATCTTTCAGATAACAGAGTCAAGTCCCAGGGAGTTCTCGGTGACCTGTCCCAGGTCAGAGAGCAAATTAGTAGGGGACCTGAACTAGTAGGGGACCTAATTATTCTCTAGGTTCCTAGACTAATACTTCTAATGTGTTATAAACAAAAATGAGCCCAAACCCCAAAGCCAGAGCAAAACAAGAATAAACTTAAATAAATAAAAATCATTATCAATAGGGACCTTAAAAAACCCTCCATTTAAAATCCATTTAAGGTGGAAACTGTTTTAAAACAGTAGAAACTTGATTTTAAGTGCAGTTTTGAAAATTTTTATTTCAAAGAGACTGAACATATGTTTTAATGTAATAACTTGGTGAATAATTTTTAAAAAATGAGTTTACTTACTTTCTTTTAGGTATGATGAAAGACTATGAGTCAAATCATTGGCCTTGAGAAAACAGGAATCTAGAAATATAAGAAACATGCTTTGTAGTGAATTTTGCAACTATTTCATTGTTTATCTCACAGAATAAAAGTAGATGAAGTGACATGTGAATGGTGTGTTCTTGAACAAGGTTGTAAAACGTTAGTGAATTGGGGGCTCATTATATATTTAAAGTGTTGTCTAGTATTTACAACAATAGCAGCAGCAACAAGTAAACTTTAACTGTCCATAGTTTCTTAGGGTAGTGAAATAAAAGCTTATTGTATTAGTCAATGGATTAATGAAGCATCTTTATTTTTCAAATCTATGCAACAGGTAATATACAAAGGCAGAACTGAAACAGCTAACAAATCTATGTAGAAATGTTCAAACCCACTAGTCATCATATGCATGCAAATTAATACAATGATGAGATGACTTTTACACACACATTAGATGTATAGCACCAAGTGTTATCTAGAATGTAGGGTGACAAAAACTCTTATGAACTGTAGGTGGGGTGTAAACTGATATAGCTATTCTGGAAAGTAGTAAAAATAAGATGTATACCACCCCATGACCCCATGATTACATTCCTGAGCACATAATGGAAAGAAATTCTTGTTATGGTCTATAAAGAGACATACACAAGTATATTCACTCTAACATTATTTGTGATAGTAGGGAGCTAGAAGCAACCTAGGTGTCCATATCTGAGAGAATAGATGAGTAATAGGTGATAGATGACATCACTGGAATACTACGCAGCATTTAGAAGCACTGAACTAGATGTGTATAAATCCAACAGGTATATCTCAAAAAAGTGTTAAGTCAGGAAAGACACAGAATGAGTGGTTCAGCACAACATCATTTAGATAAATTGCAAAATGCACACAAATACAGCAACATGACGTATTTTGCAATAGCATATACATTTAGAAACATATTAACACAGAATGAATGCCTGCAGGGAAAGGAAATTGGCATGTGCAGTTGGGAAAGAATGAGAATAATACATAAAAACACAGTATAACATAACACAACACAATAAAAGACAATATAACACTAAAACACAGGGACTTGCTCAACCAAAGACAATCCTGGTCTAGCAATCACGTAGTATTGTTAACTCTGTAACTGAGATGGATAGAAAAGCAGCAGCATGTTTATCATTCTAATTCTATAAAGAAAAGTTTGTCTATAAACACAGCAGAGAGCTAGGGAGTAAACTATTACTAAATTAAATGACATTTATATTGTGACCCAGCATGTATAACACATTATGTGAGTAATGAACTTCAAAGATGTTGCCTCCTGTACTGTTGTAGAGCCTTTGATGGTCTTTAAAACTGTAATTTCCCAAGCCTGGAGATGATCAGACTCACCTGGAGAGCTTTGCAAAACATACAGATTCCTGGTATGGACTCCCTCTTTCATAGTGAGTCAGAATTCCCTGGGGGCGAGCCTGGGAATTTGCTTTTTTACGTTGCCGGTGATTCAGTTGCACTAGCCTACAGGCTTTCAGCAGTGATCTAAACCACACTGCAGCTCTCAGGAGGACAGCAAGGTTAGCTCCAAGGGATTGCCTGCCTCGAAACTCTAATTAAATGCCCATGTGCATGACATTAACAATGTACAGTGCACCATGTTAATTGAAAAGACATGTTCCTGCCCTACAGACACAAACAACCTCAAATCAAAACCAAGTTACACACTCGACAAACTAAATAGGAAAAATATTTTATTATTTACATATATTTATGCCCCTTCCTGAGCCTGCACCAAACAACCCATGGTGCATCCCTCCTCTCCCCTCGCATAGACTTCCTCGCTCCTTGGTCTCATCAGTGTAGTGATGGCCTTTTCTCTACAACCTTCCTATGATGCCCTGTGAATCAGAATGGCCTAGTTTTTTAACTGAAAATGAAAACCTGCTCTTTTTGCCTGTAACAGTATTTTTACCATATTTACAACTTTTTTCTTCCTCCCTAAACCAACGCATGACCACAATTCTTGCCTACCTGTGCTACTGTACTCTAATATGGCAATTATATAATGTAAACTCACTATGGAACTCAAATGACTCCTTAAATGTTTCTTTTGACCTTCGATTCTCTACCATTCTAGCAAATTAAGGTTAATTAATTATATTCCATGAGGTTACAGAGTAGCAGTGGTCCCACTATCTCACAAGTCTTTCCAAAGTTGAAGGTATACTCTAACAAAAAACTAGAAAGGAAAATTGACCACCGAGCCCCAGTAAAATCACACTTGCAGTTAAACCCTGAAAAGAGGCTTTGTTATAACACTTGCTTCTTGAGAACGAGCAGCCAGGACCCAGCTCCCCTCAGAGGAGATGCTGTGCTGGGAAGCGTGGTTGCTCACTGCTGCTGGAGCCGTGGGGCTCAGCAAGTCAGAACTCCAGTTCGCGCTCATGTGGAAACGCACTCCTTCAATTCCCGAGAGGACGTCCCTTTTGGAAAAGAAACAGGGCACTCATGTCTCCAACCCAATGTGCATTTCATAAAAAAAGTGTATCACAAAGGAATTATAAAAATTCCGGGAATGGGCTGGTTTTCAGTTTCTCAAGCCTCTAGAAAGCATAACGTTGTGATGGAAAAAGGAAATCAAGCTACCCTTGACTTTTTCCAAAAGCAGTGTTAGATAGCCCTCGTGGTCTATAAATAGCTCATCTCAGGCAGAGCACCCAAACTGCTTGAGGACTGAGTTTATGACATCTCTTTTCTTCAGTCTCTGCCCAGGAGTTATAGGACGTATCATAAATTTGAAATTCATGAAAATAAGTTGTTTTAAGAATTCTGCAATATCTTTTAACTTAATTATAAATACTCTAAGACAGCAGACTTCAAACAATAGTAGGCTGAAGAATTGCCTTGTTAAAAATGCAGAATTTTGTCCCTGTCTTTAGATAGTTTGCTTGAAAAAGTCTGGGCCGGGACCCCAAAAACTGTCCTAAAAACAAAACCATAAGTAGAAATCCATGATAAGAACAACAACAAAACTAAGCTGCTTATTAAAGCTAACGTTCTTGCCTATAAAAGACGAATACATTCGTGTTTCATATCTATACTTTTAAATGTGTGGTTTGTCTTTATTTAACTTCTGTCTTCCTTAGGGATTCTTACTCCTTGAAGAATATGCTAAAAAAAAATTCATACCCAACAACTAGCCTTTTGAATAAAAATAAAATTAAAACCTTTCTATTAGATTGAACAAATGCCACTTAGCATCTTCATAAAGAAATCATAAAAGAATGAAAACCATGAGGCTGAGGAAAGGATATCAGGCTGGGTAAACCGTATTTGTGTCTGGCTGAGACACCTTGCCATAACACAGAGTAAGGATGAATCCATTGTGCGCCTCATCATCAGGAAAGTTGCTAGCAATTAACAATGGGTCCTTCTGCATGACTAATCTCAGACTAGTAAGAAGGAAAAAAAAAAGGGGAAAAAGCCAAAGAAGCCTGGCTGTACCTGGTAGCTTCAGTTCTTCTAACTCAATCACCGAGCGACTGCTGCTGTAATAGTCTTTCATCAGTTGCTGCAGGTCTTCAGGTGTCCCTGGTTTTGGCTCTGACTTTGCAAGAATGTCAGTAATTTTCTTCTAAGACACGAGAAGAAAAAAAACAGGAGGAAAGATTCTAGTATGGCATTTCGCTTAGGGCAGGTTGGCTCCTCTGGCACTTAAGCTGCACATAGGTCTCGGTGGTAACCGAGTATGAATGTGAGTTCTGATAAACACACTTGAGAAAGCATAAGAGATATTCCTTGGGTATTACTGCTTTGGAAAATGAATGGATGATCTAAAAGCCCCCTTGTAACTCTTTGTTACAAAGACTTCTAGGAGAACTGACATTTTTATAGCAGTCTCCATAATAGGGTATTCTTTTCTGTTAAAAGTCAAGAAATCTTGTTGCTGTGGAACCCCTCCTTAAGCCTGGGAGAGCAGTTTCGAGAATTTCTTGCCTAACTTGGTTTTTAAGGTTTGGATTTCTGGGATTAGAGTAAAAGCTGCAGGAGTAATCCAAGCATAGGACCCACTGCAAAGGGGGATTTTCAGACTCTCAGTTCTCAAGTCTTGGGGGATATAGTCTTGAAGCAGTCCTATGGAAAGCAGAACAGGAAATACTGCACAACATCTATTTTGATTTGGACTTATTTGTGTAGCATTTACTGAATGCCTGCAATGTACTAGGAGCACACAATTGTTCATTTAATTTTCATCATAAACTTCCCTTCTCATTTCCTTCTAATGTTTCACCAAAGATCTAGAAAGAGTCGTTCCTCACTCAACCTCCCCAGGCCCCAGCTTTTTTTCCTCCTTCCACAATATCCTCATTTCTATAGCAGTGCCAAGAATGGGCCAAATTCTGTCAAACGAATTAACTTTTAAAAATACGTCATCGGTGGGCACACTTCAGCATGACCTCAGCCAAGGCTCAACTATCTAGCTAGAGTTCCGACCTTGAGCCACCAAGAACTTAACACCCCTGAAGGCCATTAGTGCACAAACTATCAAAGAGACGTTAACATTACTTCTTTAAGGGACTTGCCAAACCTCAGCCAATTTGGCATTTCCTATCTTCCTACTTGGCCATTTGCAAGCAAAGAAAACACATGCACACACCGCCGTTCTCTAAAAGCCTGCTGGTAAGTAACCGGTTTGAGTCCCCCTTCTCTCCTCTAATCCCAGCCGTATTTCCTCTGCTGACTTCAGCAGTAGACCCTTCTTGGCAGGGAGAGAATTACACTCCTGTTTTCATAACTGTGGTGGAAGGTCAAAGCTAACCACACTTTCTCCAAGTCCTGAGCCATAAGAAAGTTTGTATAGGAGCAAGAGTCCTCCATATGCTCCCAGGCAAGTATTAAAATGCAAGGGGTGACTTTTGCTTTAAATTATGGTTCCAAATGAGAGTCAGAAGTGCCTTATACTACCTTCATCTGCTTATTATTTTCTTCTTGTTAATATTCTAAGATAAAAGGTTTTAAAAACTGAAATGGATAAGAAAAGAAGGTTGGTAAACTTTCCTTGGACAGAGCCAGAGGGGCCAGAGGGCAGGAGAGTTCTGGGCCCTTCTAGAATTAGAAACCCCTGTCTGACTTCTAACCACACTGAAAACACAGGGTGGGGAAGAGAGATGTTTAATGTTCCACAAAACTGAAACAGGAATCAGAAGGATTCATTTTTAGCTCCAACAGAAACACTTATTACGAGTGACCTTAGGAAAGTCACAAAACCTCACCGAATCTTACAATTTCTGCAACTCTAAAGTGGTGATTACAGTAACTGCCTCATCAAAGTATACTGAACAAAAAGGTGATGTAAACCATGTAGGGCCACACCATTGTAAAAAATTATTAATATTACCTTTCTCCTCTTCCTGGTCTTAGTGGCATCTTCTTTTGTTTCCTTTGGCTGTATCAAGAAACATTCCTTAGGCTATAAAAAATACAAATGAGAGTACTATGCTAAGTGAAATAAGCCAGTCGGAGAAAGACAAATATCACATGATCTCACTTATATGTGGAATCTAATGAACAAAATAAACTAATGAACAAAATAGATTAAAAAACATGGATGCATGGTACAGACTGACAAATCTCAGAGGGAAGGGGGTGGGGTGGAAAGAGATTAACCAAAGAAGTTATATGCATATATGCATAGCCCATGGACACAGTCAATAGTGCCATGAAGGCCTGGTTGGGAGTGGGGGGTGAGGGAGCAGAGCCGGGTGAAGGGGGTCAATGGTGGAATAAAGGGGGCACATCTGTAATACTTTCAACAATAAGAATACATAAAAAAAAGAAAGAAATGAGAAAACTTTTCTCTTAGTGTGATGCGGTGTCAACTAATGATACCAATCCCAAAGTACCTACCGCCATAAATATATTCTTCAGAGTATCTTGGTGATATTCTACAGGCAGAGAGATGCTGGAATACCCACTGTAGGCTATGATACAGACTGGAAAATCTTTGAACAGAGGTCAGAATGTGTGAGTGCACATGTGTGTTTGGGGTGATGGTGCAGGGCCTTAAAGATGAAAGACAATAGCCAGGTTTGTAAAATACAGGCAGAAAGAGATGTGATGAAACTGAAGATGTAATGAGAAAGTCTGACTGGTAAGACTGGTATTTTCCATGAACTAGCAATGTGTGAGTATGTATTTCCAAGTCACTGGTTTATTGCTTCATTATTTTGTTATTCTTTCCTTTTCTCAATAAGCAAAGAAAATCTGAAGTAGGATATATTTACTTACATTTTTATAAAACCTGCAACAAATGTCTTATCTATAGTGACCACAAAATGAATGTTTCTGCTGATGGTCTGAGAGGTTTTAGTACCAGGGCATCTTGAGTAATCAATTTTGCCTGTTGCCTTGACCCCTGTGTACCCTATACTATCTAGTGCTATTCTTACCCTGTCTTTTTTTTTTTTTAATGTAGAAAAACAGGAAATTTGGACTATGGCCTTGATTTATAAAATAGAATGCCTCAGATTCCGTATTTATTAATCATAAGCAGGAATATAAAATGTTTCCTGTGCTGGGTCTTTTATGCAACATTTTCAAACAAGTTGCCAAGTAAGATATAAAATGTAAGTGCAAACTTATTCTGGTTTTTTCTTGATTAAGTTTCCATTCCAACTAGAGAATACTCAGTTTAAGCTGGTAAGCTACTAACTAAAGCAATCTTGTCCACTGGCTCTGTTTAAAATGATTACAGATGAAGCTTTCTATTACACTTTGCAGACAGTCTGCAGATTAAGAATGCCTATGGCCTGAAGCCAGAGAGAGATATATAATGCTACATAATTTCTTCAAGACATGGGGCCAGGACCAGCAGTTTCTAGACACTGTTTCAGTTAGTAGAGAAGTAGATTCAAAAGGCTCAAGATTAAAGTAAAGTGGAATCTTGAAATTTTAGCTTCTTCTCAGTTAAAACAAAAAACCTGCAAAGAGCAATTGCATCATAGCTAAAGAATAAAAAGGATATTATGACCTCTCATATTTAGAAAGTTAAACTGTCTTGTGGATGCAGATACATGCCAATTAGAAAGTGGGCCAAGGCCACTAATGTGTCACAGAAGCTGCCAGATGGTCATAAGAGTCCAATTATAGACCAGGCCAACATTCAGCTCATGCTCCTAAGGCAAAGGCCCAGATATGATTAGCAGATCCCTCAAGGCATACTGCAGTGTCTTGTCACCAGTATCAAGGTTTTTGGGAAGCAGATGTAGTTCGATTTTCTTATTTAGCAAATGGGGGTGCTCTTTAAGAGGGGTGCTGGACTGTATTTATGCTAGGTTTACAAAGCCAATCAGCTCAACATGACACAAATCTGGACATGAGCTGTGTTGTAAGGACAAAGACTCTGGAAGAAAAATAAAAATGTAATCCTGAATCATACATCAGAATAAAGAAACATGTTTGATGAATTGCTTTAGTCAAGATACAGAATCAGGTTTACATGTTAGGTTCAAATTCTTAGATCATCCTACAGAAAATGCAGTATATATTTTTTTCTGGGAGCAGCCCCCTTAGCTGGTTGAGGTAGGGTAAAAATGAAGAAGCCAAGTTTATTGGGTCAATTTCCATAGAAGTGAGATGGCTTTATGAGGAAATACAAATCCATAGTATTGAAAATTCCTAAACTTAGCTGTCTTATGAATGCTGATGTTTGCCTTCAGAGGGTAGGTAAGAAGTTGTGGAAGACTCAGGTCAGGCTAACTAACCATTTCTGGAAACCAATTCCAACAGTATATGTTTTTGATAGTTGATAAGTAATGTCACTATATGTCTTTATGTGAAATATAGTGATTTTAAATATGTAGCAAAATATGTAGTTGAAATATTTAGAAGAATCACGCTTCCCAAAAATATATGAAAAAAATTAAAGCTTTTAAGTGAAGTAATTGGGGTATATACTCAATTCCTTAAAGTGTCAAAATATATATTCTTTAATAATAATTCTTCTGGTTAAACATGGCAAATCAACCACAAAATACCACTATAATGAAAATAAAAGTGAAAAGGTACAAACCTATAAGAATCAAGAAATAAGGAGAGAGGATAACAGTAGTAGAGAGATTTGAACAACAACTTGGAAAATAAAAAGTGATTACAACTGCATGGAAGTGATGTAGCAGAGAGAGAAAGCTAGCACCTGGGGTTTTGGGAGAGGTGGAAGCTAATAATAAGTGACACTGTTTGAACTGTTGGACTCCGAAAAGGTTCCGTAGGTGGAGGCACAAGGTACTATAGAGAATGAAGGGTTTAAAAGAAAGAGATTGTTTGAAAGTCTATGTTTAGAAAAATTAGCCTCCCTCACACCTCCCACTGAGCGGTATCTCCTGCCCAGGCAGGCAAGCAACCCTATTATTACTGTTTCCTCTCATCTGCTCTTCCTGGCAGAAAACTGGAGGCTCTTCTCTGGAGAGGACCAGAGGACCAAGAAGTCTGGCACAGGGGAGGTAGGACAGAGGCTGAGGCTCACTTCGTTTTCCCGTCCCTCTTTCAGGATGTTTCAAGCCAGGCTTATATACTGCAGGCAGGAGAACACTAAATTCTCTGGACAAATGGCCTAAGAGAAATGCCACAAGAGAGTGACATTTTGGGGTGCCATACTAAAAATCTAGCTTGTTATCCCGTCCCCCTCCCATGAAGTCCACTAATCAACAAGTCTAACTATGTACAAAAATTTTTTATCAACTCTGTAGTGTATCTCTCTTTAATATGAATAGACAGCTAAAGTCCATCAGACAGCTAAGGAAAGTCTACAACATAAGAGCAAATAAACAACAATAAAAATCCTGAGGAAAGAGGGCTATTTCTTCAAAATAATTACAATGAATATTCTCAGACAGATAAGGAAAGAATTTGCATCCATGAAAAAAAGAATGCTATAAAAAAGATACAAACAGAAATCATTTAAATATTAAAACAAATTAAAAAGTTGAAATGAAAATGTGGGAGGGCCCGGTCAGGCATGGCTAAGTGGTTGAGCATTGACCTAGGATTCAGGAGATCATTGTTTGATTCTTGGTGAGGGCACATGCCCGGATTGCGGGCTTGATCCCCAGTCGGGGGCCTGCAGGAGGCAGCCAATCAATGATGACTCTCTCATCACTGGTGTTTCCATCTCTCTCTCTCCCTCTCCCTTCCTCTCTCTGAAATCAATAAAGATATGTTAAAAAAAAAAAAAAAAAAAAAGTGGGAGGGAGGCTTAAAGATAAAGTAGAGGAAATCTCCCAGAAAGATTTTTAAAGTGGTAAGAAAATCAGAGAATCAGTCCAAGAAATACAACATTCCAGTAAAAGGTATTACAGAAAAAGGGGTCATATAAAATAGTGAGGAAGGAGTGATGAAAAAAATAATACAAGAAAAACTACCTAGAACTACAGGGAACATTTTTAACATGAAACTCAAAATTAAAATCCCATTAGGTATAGAGTACAATAAATAAAATAAAAATACCCACACCAAAGACCATCATTGTGAAGTTTGAAAACATTATGGACAAATAAAAGATTCTAAAAATTTTCAAAGAGAAAAACAATAACATTCAAAATACAAAGGGTCAGAAAAAAGAATGGTTTCAGATCTTGCAATAGCATTACTGGATGCTAGAACTCACTGGAACAATGCCTTCAAAATTATGAGGAAAATTTATTTGCAAACTAGACTTTTATACCCAGCCAAACTATCAATAAAACTAAGAGTAAATTAAGGTCTCAAAAAATTTACTTTCTCCCTACAGACATTGAAGGTTATAGCTCAGCAAAATAAAGGTTTAAACCAAGACCAAGATATGGAAGTCAGCAAATAGGGAGACTAACCCAGAAGAGTGCTGAAGGGGCAGTAAAGTCTCAATTGCTCAACAGGCCTAGAGAATAACCAATGCAGAGTGGAATAGGAGCATGGAGGTCTGCAGAGAAGAACAATAACTGATCTATTTGAGCATATGGAAAATATTATTCATGGGCATGTGGAAGGGATGTTGGAACATATGGAAATAATTAAAAGTAGGAACACAGCAAGTTAGGCAAATGAAGAAATGCAGTAATTATTAATGTCATGAAAATAAAGAGTTGTATAAGAAAGGAGGGATGATTATAGCTTCTTTTTTTCTCAGGATTGAACAGTATTTTAATGGTCATAATAATGAAATAACGACAACTGCTTTAACCAAAATGTGATATTGTATTGGCAGGGGATGTGGCAGTTGGAGAGGGATTAGGAGGTAGAGGGGAGAGCTATGTCCTCATATGCTACCTCAAGAAGTTAACATATCATGTCAGAAATTGATAAATCAAGAAACAGCAGTAAAAAGTATAAGGTAGTAAATAAGAAAAACAACTAAAAGTTGAGTGTGACTGCCTCTGAGGAAAGAGTTAGGGTAATAGTAGGGAAAGGAATGCTGTGTTTTCATTAAAAACTTTC